AAACAAAAAAGCAGCTTTATCTCTTGTGAAAACTGATTACCTCTAGAAGCTCATTATGTTTTCGGAGCTGCAGCTCCCTCTGCTGGATAGTAGAGTAAATGCATTTCTCTGCACCAGCTGTTAATACACCTGCTAATCTGCTGGTCTTTCTGTTGGAAAAGGTGTTAGTATTCATATATGTGAAAGCTAAGGTCAAACATAAACATACATTAAATCGTATCTATGATTACGTGAATGTGCAAATAAATGTTTAAATTAATATATAAATGTATATTAGTTAAAGATAGATTATTGTTTTCAGCATTTATTCAGATATTACTTATTCCATGTACTACAGTGAATCAATAAATGATTGAAGTCCGAATCTTAACATTTAACTGGATGGTTAAGCTGCAGACCAATCAGCTTTTACTTTGGAGTATTTATCAACTTCTAAAGGTAAGTCTAAAAATTTTAATCCTTGAAGAGCATTAATAAAGAATCAATGAATTTCTAAGCAACATAAATACCTCAACATATAATTTCAGCTTATAAAACATTCAACTAACGGCTCTGATGCTAAATCATTAGTTAAATATACGTAAAATAATCAGTTTGAGCAGGATTTTTATTTGAATGATCAATTTAAGCAGAAACAAAGAAACGAGAATTAAAGAAATGTTTTTTCTCCCTCCTAACAAATCTACACTAGCAGCTGAATTAACTACTGCACACAGAAGCAGACAGAGATGTAAACAACTTTTATTAGGCGCCACTTGTGGTACAATCTTAAGCGTAAAATCTGGAGTCACTGAACCAGCATTAAATAAAACAGCTGATGTTAGTTAGTTTGGGTTTCTGTACAATCATAGAAAAAAATAGTTTTGGTTGAATTATTTGGCAACAACTTTGACAGGCTGGTGACTAAAAAAAACAAAACAATGAGCCAAACGGATGCGGTGTGCATCCACATTAATGATATTTTCTTTGTAACCAAACATTATCCAGTCGTTAGCTTGTGAAGCTTCATGCAAATCTGGCTCCAGGAATCGGGTCATCTTGGTACTTGGCACGTTTATCTACGTTCTTTACAGAGAATCTGTAAAATTCTTAAATCATTCTTTGTCACAAATTTCATCTCTCAAATGTTACAGTCCATCTATATACAGTATTTACAGGATATCTGTGTGCACCTCCCTTTTTTTTTTTACCCCATTGCTCACAGTGTGCAGTCGCATGATCAACAAGTATCTGGTGAAACTGTCTGAGGCGAGAAAATAAAAACAGACCAGACATCAAGATCATGACAGAGTGAGGAAAATGCATAAACATAAAATATAAATGAAGAACACTTTAAAATTGTCTTTTAAAAGGAGGATAAATATCTTTAAAACACACTTCCCTGTCATTAAAAAAGCATTCAGAGACATGCCTTTAAATGGGAAAAGGAACTGCCATATCTGGATGAATATGGATGATGATGCTGGAGCAGCACAGCATTATGCAAACAAATTATCTTTACAAAAAAACAAAAATCTTCTCATTAAAATATTTCAAACTTTAGTGTTATTACCTGATGTAAAATGAGAGATTGAACATTCATATTTCATCCATATACACAAAATTTTATTTTCTTTTTTGTTTGGGAGGTTAGGATAAAGGGGGAAAAAAAAGGAAAACTGGCTTTGGGGGAAAAAAAGAAAATGTAGGATGAGGACACAGCATGATTCCTGAAAAATTCAAAAAAATGAAATTTCTTACTTTTATTTTAGCCTTTTTTCCTATTTCAGTTGTCAGCAGAATGTTATTGTGTTAATCGATTTTCTTTAAATAATCTTTGTGAACCTTTGAAGATTAGCTGCAGCTATCGTGTGTTTTTACATCCAAGCCAAACCTTTAATAGGTCATCAATCACATGTGGAGATGTAGAAATGGGTTATACGTAAAAAAAAAAGTATTTTTTTCCCCCAGTGTTTTATTGTCATTACACTCTCACAAGTACAGTGCAACAAAATTCACTTTCTGCTTTTAACCCGTCCCCTTGGGGAGCAAAGGGCTGCCATTTGCAGCACCCAGGGAGCAGAGTGTGGGTTAAGAGTCTTGCTCAGGGATCCAGAGTGGCAGACTGTGGGAGTGGGTTTCAAACTCACAATCTCAGGATTCCAAGCCCTATGCCATAACCACTAGGCCACCACTCCTTAACTCCCCTTCTGCTACACTGCTCTAATGAAACAGGAGTAATAAACCTGATGAGACCTGGAGCAGAAATGACAAGGTCTGCCTAAAAGCTGGCACAATTTGATCCTTTTTTCTTTTCATTTTTGCCTCAAACTGTATGTAAACTTATAGGAAAACTAAAAGCTCAGTCTTTAAATCTAAGGGTTTAAAAAATAAAGCTCCCCAACACCATCTTTTTGACTTACTGTTCCTCCTTTACAATAAAAATGATCCTTCTTAACTTCAAACTTCAGACTCAGCTATAACTGATTTCATCCCGGTGGCTGTTCCATATGGAAGAGTGTCCCTCATTAGCAATCATTGTAGCAGCCATGTTTTTACTTTTTTAATGTTTTTTTTTATGTTTGTCAATTTTAGGAATGGGAAAAAAAAACACTATTATAAGCAAAAAGCCTTAAAGCAACTTTAGGTAAAAATCACAAAAATAGGTCTTTTTGTTTTATTAAGCATCATTTTTATTCAGGGATGCACACATCATTTTTAATATCTTCTTCTCTAAAGGATATTTGACATTTATTTTGGCAGTTCAGGGTCATGTTTAAGAAAGACTGCTCCCTTTGTTATATGTTTGCATCCATCCTCTTTTTCTTTCTGGCTTTAAAATAAAAATCAGTTTTTTTTTTATTATTTATTTCTAACTAATAAATTCCAAACCGTAGGATTTTCAGTCAGTTTCATGAGGAGGATTCCTTCTCCTTTCCATATTCTTTCCTGATCAAAAGAGACTTTTCATGTCCTAAAACGTCACGTTTCACCAAAAATAACTACAGACACCTTCAAACCGGGTGGTTCAGAGAGGCCTGGGGAAACATGGCGCTCCCACAACAGCAGGACGCACACGCCGTAATGAGGTCAGCTCCCACACGGCTGCAAACCGCTCTTCAAACAGATATTGTTAGCACGTATCCACTGAGGCTAGTTTCTGAGGGATCAACTTTAAAGTTTACAAAACGGGGATTTGAAAAAGCAAAAGCAGAAACACTTTGTCATATTTAGTGCATTTTATATTGTAGCTTTACATTCAGGCATTTCTTTTTTTTTTTGGCACAGTTCATCCCACATTTTAACGCTGATGATATCCACATTATCACAAACATTTAAGAGAAACAAAAACAGGTTTATGTTCTACCCTGTCTCCAAAACACAGTGGTTTGTTTACTTCAGTCAGAAGATAAGAAATCCAAAAGATGGATGGTTGAAAGTGATGCGTTATTTTAAGGTAGATCAGTCACGCTTTGAGCCTTTTTTTTACCCCTCATAAATCTACCTGCAGCAGTGATATAAAGGGATTAATTTCAAGGAGAGATCCAGGAGGAAAATGTTGCACAGTGAAAGAGAAAATAGAACCGGAAATAAAAAGATGCACATTTAAATTCAAAATGTTCAAGCTGAAGGATTAGTTACGCGTATCTCAGACTTATTAAATAGATTTGGCACCAAAAAGGTGTAAAACAGCAGTGATTTAATACTGAAGCACATATAGAATTATCCACATTTATTTGTTTCCCTGGTTCGGTTCAAAGCCTTGAAATCAATACTTTTACTGCTGAGCATTTCTTGAAGAATTAAATCTGAAAAGTCATAAAAATCCACAGATAAAATCACTGAAGTTTCAAATATTTGGTCTTATTTTCTACACATATTTTCTTTATTTTTCATGCTAGGAACAAAAAGATCAGCAAAATTTAATTTGAGCAAATTCTTCAGGTTTACATTTTGATTGTAAAACAGATTCTGTTTTCTGATGATATAACAAGTCAGCATTTAGATATATCCTTTTTAGTTTTATAGAGACCTAAAATCAGTTAAGTTTGAAGATTTTCTCCCTCCTTTAATATCCTACATCTGTGCTAATATATAAACCGGCCTAATGATTTTTCTTAAGTTTGCAATAATTTCCCTGATTATTATTATTTCCTGGTTTAAGTGAGGAGATGTTTTCTGACTTTTGAAGGCTAAAAAAAAGATAAATCCTCCTAATTTTGAAGAGTTGTTAAGAGTAACTAGTTTGTGAATTTCTATATATAACTTTGCTTAAGTCACAGGTTATTAAAAACAAGTTTTTGTTAAAAAAATGTATTCTTAGGCATATCTATAACTTCTTAGATATCTTTTTTTCTGCCACTGCTGAAAACAATACGCTGAAATGAAAGGTTTATTCTACAATTTTTTTTGGATTTATCACAAGGCTTCTTAGACACACAGAGACATTAATCTACTTCTTCCTCATCTTCTTAATCCTTCTGCAGGTTAGAGTTTGCTCAGCTACAACAACTGCTGGGTAAAAAACTGCATGCGACTGTTTCCACATGTACAAACTTTTCTGGGGGTTTCCTTTTCGCTTTAAAATGGATCACTTTTTAGATTATCTGCAGAGATAAATCTCTGATTTGATTATTCCCCTTTTATCATGGTTTACACTAATGATTATAGCTTTAATGATGAAATCTGTGATGCAAATAAAAAAACCCTCCCTTTTACAAGATAGTTAAAAACCTGTATTTCTTTTTCCTTTTTTTTTTCCTGATAAAACCTCTCAAACCTGCAAGAATAAATTTAAATAAATAATATTCAGAATGACACTAACATGCTAACAGCAAAAATAACTGATCCAGCATGAATAGATTCTGTTAGGGATGATTATTATGATTAAACTGCCTGGAGTGGAAATATTTTCTTTATGCTGATATGAACTATAATATCAGCGCCTTTGCTTTAATCATTTATTATCATACAATTCGGGGAAATTACGCTCTAAAGTTGCTCAAAATATATATTTTTTCTTTTTTTTCTAAATGAGTAAGCAAATAAATCCTTTCTTAAATTGAGGCCCCCCCTCCCGCCTTAACCTTGTCTCTGGGTCATCATTAATAACAAGTCAGACTTGTAGAGAAACTCGGCTTCGCTCCTTGCAGTGAAACATGACTTGCCTTTCCGCCTTACAAATGTCAGACAATCTGTTGGTCCTCATGCAGGCAGTAATTCCACTGAGTGATTCTCAAAGGTCATCCATGTTAGCCTCGGCCGGCCGGCCGGCTGCTGGGGGGCGGGCGGGGGGGTGCTCCGGCTCTTTCCCTCTTTGAAACTTCATCATGATGCTACAACTTTAAATGCTTACTTCTGCTGCACATAAATACAGTGTTAAAGTCTATGTGTGTGAGTTTTAGTGTATGCAGACATTCAGTACCCTGTAGCATTGAAAGGTGCGTGTGGGGGGGGGCATGCTCCTGCTGCTGTAGGGTTGAAGCTGTATGTGGCGTACGCCACCGAGGAGCCCACCATTAAACCCGTCATGTAGGACACCGTCATCGTATTTCCTGCAGGAAGATGGAGAAACAGAACAGGAAATTAGTGAGCAGCCATTCCAGGAGAGGAAAGGAGCTCAGATCCAAATTGTTATCGACTCAGCTGGATAATTATAGGGTGGTGGGAATAAAAGGAGAGTAGAAAACATTTTCATATGTCTCAATTTTTGCCAATATCTTTTTAATTGACTTATCATCAGGTCTGGTCTTCAAGAGGTTTGTGCTTTTTAAAAGAGGTGTAAATCTGGACCAATTTTACCAGGGGGGCAACTTAGGGCCAGTGTCTTTTCATGGATTCACAGAGTGAAAGAATAAAACAAAAAACAGCATAATGGTTAATAATTTCAAATAAAATCACCCAAAAAAGCCACTCATGGATCTGGAGACTTGGCTCTAATAGATAAAGATTTTTGTCTTTTCTACAGGCATCTTTAAATCCTTGTAAAGTAAAATTGTAAATATATATTTATTCAATAGACCAATCAGTTACAGTTTCTATGACAATCATATAAAACTGGTTTGGTAATGTGTCTTTAGTAGAGGGGCCAAACCGGGGCCAGTTCCATAGGGGCAATGGCCCCTGCTGGCCCCTATCTAGAACCACCCATGTGCAAACCTCAGGCAGAGCAGATATTCATAGAAGGTGCAAAGTGATTTCTGCTTCTAATCAAGCAGATAGTTTGTGCGCCTTCATCAGTATGACGATCATACTCTAATCCAGGGGTCTTCAATGTTTTCCAGGCCAAGGAGCCCAAAACTGATGGTGAAATGGAGTGGGGACTTCCTAATTATATATATTGTATGAAATTGTGTTATATCAAACTGGTCCTATAGTCACTCTATTACAGATGGAGTAATGCAATGAATGTAATTTTGCCCTGGGATTATTAAAGTATTTCTGATTCCTCGTTGATGGGACAGGTGTTGTAAATGAAACGGTGTTTGAAAAAGCTCCTGTATGTCACTGACTGCATTGAAGATTGAAAGACATCTTCTGCCTCCATTATCTGTTTACTACAGTGTGTTGAATTCATGTTAATGTGTATTTAAAGACATTTCAATTAATGGAAAAATTTGCACAGGGAATATGGAAAAAAAAAAAAGTGTAATCAACCAAAGCTTTCAAGACCCCCATGAAGTACCTCTGCGGCCCCCCTAGGGGTCGTTTACCTCCTGTTGAAGACCTCTGCTCCAATCACCAAACCAAGCAAGTTGAAGAGGATATACAAATATAAACATTTATCGCCCGAAAAGTGATTTTTCCAAACTAAACTGCAGTCTCAGTTTGTGCATCTTTTTTTAGCACTTCTGAAAGTTAGATGCAAACTTGTGCAAAAAAAAAAAAAATCTGTGGTCATTATTGCCACAAAGAAGATGTTCTGGACATGAAAACATATTTGGACTGTCAGAAATAGCAATAGTAGAATAATATCCATAAAGAGAAACATGTCAACAGGTTGGCAGAAATAAATGCAGCAAGACAGCAGATAATATTTTCACAATTAAAATTGTGTCATGTTCCATCAATCCATTTTCTTACATGCTTAATCCCAAGCAGGGTCACGAGGGGTGCTGGTGCCTATCTCCAGCTGTCTACGGGCGAGAGGCGGGGTACACCCTGGACAGGTCACCAGTCCATCACAGGGCAACATAGAGACAAACAACCATTCATACACACCTTAGGAGGAGCCAATTAACCTAACAGTCATGTTTTTGGACTGTGGGAGGAAGCCGGAGTACCCGGAGAGAACCCACGCATGCTCAGGGTAAACATGCAAACTCCAAGCAGAAAGACCCTGGGCCGGGAATTGAACACAGAACCTTCTTGCTGCAGGGCAGCAGTACTACCCACTCCACAACTGAGTAGCCCAATTGTGTCATGTTTATAAACAAAAAATAGAATATCACAATAGCCTGCAAAGACACATTTTGATGATGGTTCTTGTTTTCTTTAACTTTAGTTGGTAGCACTGTGAGATATGCTATGACTTGCACTGTCAATATTATTTGTAATAATTATCACTCTACATGGCTTAGAACCTCATCTTTCTTTTCTGAAGGCTCTGAAGCTTCCAGTAGAACAGCCAATCAGGTTGCAAGTCTTAACATTTGTGCAGCTATCTTTTTAGATCGCGGCAACACACCCACTTACTAAAAGATTGTTGTACATGAAATTTTGTTCCTTTTATTTGGGATCGATCAGGCCCATGTAGAGAACAACCTGAAGCTTTTAATTTAGTATTTTTTTGCTGAACAAAGCAGGTATTCAAGGATTTTTTTCCCATTAAACAATAATGATGCTGCTGCTACATGAATCACGATTTAATGAAAGGAACTGATGGAGAGGACCCATGTTCCTTCCACTTAATGCTTTATGTGAGCTTTATTAAAAAATAAAAGATTTCTAGTTCAGGTGAGTTTTAAGTGAGTAATGAATAGAAGGAGACGTTGATGTTCCATATTTTAAAGGAAAGCATAAATCTAGACAACCTTTAGTATTTATGGGATGGACAGATCGGGGATTCACATTTTCCCATGAGGACAGTTTGCAAGGTCAAGATCTCCAGTCTGTATCACCTGAACATAATATAATAATCTAATATAATCCAAAATCAAACAATTCTAGTGATTTAACTGATTTGGAGATACTGTCACAACACAACGGGAAGTTTTTGTAAATTAATGAACATCAAACTTATTGCTTTCCTTCATGCCACCCTGAGGTTCAGCAGATGTTTAAATAGAGACTGACTTCAAAACTTTTAGTTCAGAAAAAAACTAACAGAAAATCACATTTAGAGGGGATTTTATGAAGAGTCTGATAAATTTAGAGAATTATTGGCAGAAAGAGTGGAAAACATTGACAGCTTAATAACTGGGATGCCTCAGAGACTCCTTATAAAGACATAAAACCATAAACATAAATGATCTGTACTATTCAAATAACATTAAACTTAACACATCTTTTAATGGCGTTTCAGACGGATAATGAGAACAAATAGACATGTATGACTGTTCCTGTAAAGACGGTTGAAATCATATCCTGTTCAGACAGGAAGGGGAAGTTATTTTCTTCATTAGCCCTACAAGTCAGCGCTTTAAATGCTGGACTGTTTGCTTTGCTTTGAGTTTTTTTAAAATGAAAAAAACAGTTAAAAACCCATCAGTCTTTTTATCTCCTGATGCAGAAGCGGTACCGCTCCATTTTATCTCAGAGATTACTCACAAATCCATATCAGGCAGGCAAAAAAAATGCTTCAGGCATTATTATGGGCAATAACGATCTGTCATGTTATCCTCTGAAAGAACATTAAATAAGAAGACGTGAGAGACTGAACGAGCTGGAAGAGCAGTGCGCAGCTCTAACTGCTCTGGCTAAGGACTGTTAGCCAGTAAATTTGTTTATAATCGCCTCAATCAGTCCTATTCTGAGGAAAAACAAGCAGAGTAATGATCCTCTGGTCATTCATGGTAGATCTATAGTCATTAAAGACAGAGATTAATAGCATAATATAAATATCACCACCGCAACTAAAGAGCCAAAATGCCTCTTGTTTAAATTAGTGGGTTTTGCAAAAAAAGTCTTTAAATTAAGAATGAATAATCTAAAGACACTTCAGAAACTCAATGCTCTGCTTAGCACCTCTAAGTCAGCTCAATCTTCTTGTTGTTGCAGTAAATACATGAATCGCTGCATCCCTCATGTGTTAGCAGCATTGATGTTTTGTTAAAAAAAAACTTGCCGAACTTTGGCTGCTGTATCTGGTCATTCTGCTGTTATCTTCATGGCAAGAAGCCATTTATTTTCCTTCTACATCAGTGCTGTCTTCAGCTGTAGGTAACCTTAGGCACATTTTGGACTATTTCCAATGCCATTTTAGTTAATTTCTTGGAAAACCAGTGCGTGCACTGTTTAATTGATGTCAAAATCCTATTATTAAATGATTAGTTTTTTTTGCAAACAAAAAAGATGCATAATGGCCTTAAACTGTAACCCTACTTTAAGGTTGAGCACAATAATGCAACCGGATTTATTTTTGTAAAAAAAAAAAAAAAAAAACAACAACAAAACAATCCCTCTCTTATTGAATATTTTTTAAGAACAAGATACATCTCATATCAATGATTAAAAAAAGAGGTATTTATATTTTTTAATTGGGGTGTGAACACTTATTTAGTTGCACTGATAGGTAAGTAAGGGCTGTTTATCACATAGCTTAAAGTACAAAAGTGTAGAAAAATTTTTTTAAGTCAAATTAAGTTCAGAAAAGCTTTTAAAATATTTACTGGTTGTGCACTATTGCAAAAAAGATAAAATAACCTTACCTTTACTTCCTTATCAATAAATCAAGCTAACACAATAAGGATTTTAAAGGTTTGGATTGGAGCATGCATCTATGCAGGTGTGCAAAACAAATTTTCATTTTAGAAAAACACAGTGAGCAGCGGCTCACACAAACCAAAACATGACACTTTGTGACATTTCTGTTTCCTTTTCTTACATGGTTTTCTTTCTTTCTGCTGTTGCGAAACAAGTTTTTGTCCTGATCTTGGTGTTGATGACTGGCTTAATTTCTATTTTCATTCACCTGTCTAACGGTTTCACTTTACTGATCATCTCATCTACCTGCTACTGCCTCTATTAAAGCTGCCTGCTACCAGTCATCAGGGCCAGATATTTCTCTCGAGCCAGTGGGAAGCAGCGTTACCTTAGCGTTTCTGATTTCCTGTTCTGCCTCTCAACCAGTGAACCCTCCTGTACCCGTCTGATTTGTCTTTACCTGCCTGCTTCCAGTTATCAGGACAGATAATTCTGGAGCCTTTGATCGGGTCGATCCTGACCCGTTTTGCTTTTGGACCTCAGAGCCTTTCTGTCCCTGTTCTGATCCGTGTGCCTGACCTGTCTTTGGACTCCTGCTGGATTCTTCTTGTGAACTGAACCTGATCTACCTTCTGACTTGTACCTGGTTTATCCTGCCTTCCTTCATCTGCTTGGGTCTGATCTAATGCCAGTTCTGCAGCCTTCAAGGCTTCAGCATCTGGAACTCTCTGTCAGCGTCCGCTGTGTCTTATCAGCCGACCAGCTGGAATCAACCTCGTTCTCTGGGCACTGACTGAACTGTAAAACCAGGTTAGAGACTCATGCATTCATGATCATCCTCCATCAGATTATCATGTTCACTAACCTTTGTTTCTCCCCTGTAGAGGTTCCTGAATTTGACACCCTAGCCGCTGCTGCTTCAAATCTGCGGATTCCGTTTTAAATAAACGCTTTTTGAATAATCCCACTGTCTGTCTTGCCTTGAATACTGGGTCCTCTTTTCTGAGTCATGACAGTTTTAGTGCTGTTGTAAATTCATATCTAATCTGATCTTGAAGATTTTTGGTTTACACTGCTTTAAGATGGTGTATCAGCACAGTAACACTGACCTGCCAGCTCCCTCTGCTCAGGTGGCACTTTCCCTGCAGCCTGGATCATCGGGACAGACCCAAAGTAGCCGTTGGTGACTCCCATGAGGAGGGAGAAGAGACACGGCCAGGCAGGGTGGGGACAGCATGGGCGCACCCACCGGGTACACGCACAGGACAAACAGAGGGATGAAGACCACCCTCAGACAGGAGAAGAAGAGCAGGCGGCCCCCAGACCAGTCATAGGGAAGTGCCGCAAGTATCTAAGGAGAAAAAGCATTTGATAAAAGGACATTAAATCACGTTTCTGACAATATAAGCTACTGGCCTGCTGCCGACCCTCACATAATCCCAGGAGAAAGCCGAGTAAAACTATTCTGTTTGGTCAATACTACATCATCAAGGGTTATCTGCTGTTGTATTTGTAGCGTACACAATGTTGCAACATTTTTTGTTTTATATATATCCCGATTTACACTCATTTTTGAAATGCCCGTTATTGTTTGATTTCATCAGACGCTCGCTAACAGTTAGTCCGTGCATTTCATGCATCCTCTTCCTCCAGTAGCAGATGAATTAGCAAGTCTAACTGTCTTGCCCAAGTAGCAGTTAGGATAATCTTTGGATGCAACATGTTTCTCTTCTCTACCACAACAACAGCACTTGAATACAAAGTTTCCACTTTACAAGACTAGAGGATCATTGCAGTGGTTTCCAAACCTTTCTCTCTGGACCCCCTTTGGTATAAAGAAAGGTAGAATTTGACACACTAAGAGAAAACTGTCTGCAGTAAACAGACAGTTTTTCCTCTGCATACTGGGATATCTTTGCCCAAAAAAAAAATAAAAAAATCATTGCACGGCAAAAAGTATGAATACCTTACCAAAAAAAAGTTCTTGTTCTTTTTATCTGTTAGGAAAGATTTACTTTGATGTAGGATATTGGTGTCCAAAGCGATGTTTATTTATGTTCAGCGACAACATAAGCAGCTAACTAATGCTAACAACTAAGGAACTGTAATTACACATCTGAACTTTGTTCATCACATTAGGCACTTGTTGCATGTTGAAACAGAGACGTAAATTTAATTTCAAAAGCATGTAGGAGCTGTGAGAAGCTGGTGTAGCATAGCAGCTTCACCCATGCTCGTTACTTTTTTTGTTTTTTAGCGCCTGGGTCTTTGTTGGTCCTTTGTTACCCATGGCTGTTTTTGGCAAGCCATGTAGCCTGAAATCAGAATTTTCTGTCCATTCGATTACCGAGTCACTGACTGACTGGCGATCTACCAATTGATAAGGGAGAAGATTGCCTCCGTCAATGCACCTGCTGTAACACGCATGTTATCCATGATGACTACATAGAAACGCAAGAATGTATTGACCGACAAACAGAAAAACAGCCCAATGATCATGAAGTACTGTTGTCATCTGAGTGAAATTTCAAACCAAAATAAACCTTTTAAAAACTTTCCAAGGCTTAAAATATTTTTTTCTTCAAATTCACAAACTTCCAGGATTTTAAAGACCTCTGGGTAAGGCTGGGAATCGAGCATCGGTTGGCACTGGTTCTCCTGCAATCGTCCAAATATTTTCATTTTTGATTCCTATTTTCTTTATCTTGGCTGCCGACAGGAGAAAGAAGCTGCCTAAGAAGAAGTCTGTTTGCAACCACCTGTTTGTGAAGCAGCATTTGAAAGTTCGCTTAAAGTTAAATAAAGATTTGACCAGTTGGATGCGACACTGGTGATAGGACTATCATGCAAAGAAATATACGGTAACTCTATGAAAGGAAAATTCCTAAGCTTATATTAGCATTCATAGGACTGCTATTTATATACTGGTTAAAAATAACTATGTAATGATGTAAAGCAAAGTTCATACAAATTTAGATGTTTAAGGAATTAAATTTCATTGGGAAGTTCAGAGTATTTTATTAAGGGCAGAAATTGGTTATCCAGCTCATTCATAACAGGTAAGATTTTATGATTCTTTTTTTTTGCAATTGAGGTTTGAAAGGAACCAGGATGAAAAAGAAGGAATCAGAACCAGAATCTTTCAAATTACCATTAAATATTTTTTCATTTGTTATAGAAAAGTAAAGAAAACATTTAATAAACCATTTTATTAAAAGAAAAAAAGAAAAAGAGAACCTCTAAGCTGAATCAATTGACTAAATATGTAAGGAGTAGGAGTGATTCTGGCCTTAATATCTATATAATACCATTACAGCTTCATTTAGCTGAAAATTCTGCTGACCTTGCCAACAAAGTCGGACATGTTGAAGGTGGCCATGATGAGGATGGGCAGCCATTCCCCTAAGGTGTTGTTCCGTATCTCGGACTCCAGCCCAGGGAAGAGACACAGAGTGATGCTGTAGGTCACGGCTATGGACAGCATGTAGGCCCAGATCACACGTGACACCACGTAACGGTGCAAGATCATGTCTGGTGGGGGGGAGAGACATGCACATATGCACCAGTAATTAAAAATCTGATGACTCACAGTTGAACTCTGATGCTTTCCAATAAATCCCACCAGGGGATTTATTTGTCAGAGGGTAATTGAACGGTGAGAGAAGAAGATTAAAGCAGGGAGTACCGCGGACACCGGGCCAGCTCTTCCTCATCTTGGCTTTCGGGGCATCGAATCTTACATAAGTACCGCCCACAAAGTCTTCCTGGCCTTCTTCAGCTGAGGCGGGCGCCGCGGTCCCTCCGTTTCCCTGAGGAGACACATTTCATCACCACTTTGGTGTTCATTTCTATATCTAAACACTAGAGGTAGCCAGAGGAAGCATGAAATCAGCTTTTAATGGCAGCGCCTATTAGAGAGGACAGCTGCAAATTCAGGATGATGTAGTGATGTCGGAAAGTCTTTTGACTGGAATACAAATTAGCATAAGAGCAGCACACTCACTGATATAGACTGTTTTTAAATCTACACACACAGCCACACAGACGGATCCATTAGCTGATTAAAGAGACATGCACGCCAAAAAGCACTAGTTCTCCTTATTATCCCATAATGCAGAGCTTTCGTCTCCCTCGGCAACCTAATAGAGTCACCACTAGAAACAGCCTTGGGACCCAGATCACACACACAGTACAGTGAGACTGGGGGTTGTCTTTTAGATTCTGGACACATGTTGGATGGCACAGATGGATTCAAAGATAGACAACCTGAAGAATGGCAGCTCTGTTTGCTGTTTTAAGCACAACGACCAAATGAATTCAGCTTCTCCTAACTCATTTTTGCTCTCTTTTTAAATCTTATCATCCTGACTGCTCTTCTGCTCTCTTGCCCTCTCCTCTCACCTTATAGTCTAATTTCCTTTTAGTCATTTTTCTCCACTGTCCCTCCTTTTCTGTATCTTATGCTAATCAGCCGTTTATCCCTGTTGCACAAAGACAACCTAAGCATCGTTTTCCTCCTCCCTGTTTTTCCTTCATCAACCCATGTCACGTTCTGTCCTGCATATCACAATCCCAATAAAGCATCTCTCTCTCCCTCTCTCATCCATTTAAAGGTTTGTCTTTCTGAATGGCAGCCAAGGAAAGCAGACCATGAATAAGTGCATTTTTAAGGGAAGCCAAGACTAACTGCCTGAACTTGCTTGTACATTTATAAAACATCTCCCCACAGAAACCGTCAAGAACGTGATGCCATAATTCAGGTACCTGATATCTATCTCTGTAATATTACATTTTTGTTACATTTACTGTAAAAACCATTTGAAATGTTGCAGGTGAAAACTAAAGAGAGTATCTACTGCTCCACACACAGAGGAAAATTCAACATCCTTTTAACTTTTTCACAATTTGTCTCATACAGTATCTATTGGGACTGTTTTTGCGATAAACCAACACTGAAAAGGAAATGCTGCTCCAACTGAAATGAATTGCTCCAAATGGTGACAAGTAATAGAATCCATTTGATGCAACTTCATTTATTACATTTATAAGTTGAAAACTTAAATAAATTAATTTAAGCAAACTTAATTCAATGTTACCAATTGAAGCTGTTATTGAAGTTGGAGCAGCATGTGCTTTTAACAATGAATAAAAAATTGGTCTTAAATGAAAAATGTAATGAAAAGTATGTTTTTTTTTTTTTTTTTTGAAGCAGAAAAAAAAATTACGAAAAGTGTGGAGCATATTTGTATTCAGACTTTATCGTGAGATCCGTAGATAAAATCCTGTTCTGCATCTGAGCAATATGGCTTCCTGTCCTGGGGAGCGAAGCTCAGAACATGGAAACATGGTGCAACCCCCCCCGATCTTTTTAACAAAGAAAAATTGACTGCAGTAAACCATAATGCAATAAAATCTATCTATCTATCTATCTATCTATCTATCTATCTATCTATCTATCTATCTATCTATCTATCTATCTATCTATCTATCTATCTATCTATCTATCTATCTATCTATCTATCTATCTATCTATCTATCTATCTATCTATCTATCTATCTATCTATCTATCTATCTATCTATCTATGCAATTTCTACCATTCCCCAGTTGCCATTACACTATTAAATCCAGACCGATTGGTGGTTTAATGAAACAATGACAACATGTAAGGTAAACATAAGCTCTAAATGTTAAAGTACTATAAATGTTAACATAACTTACGAATATAACCTCCTCTGCTGTGACGTCATGATGGACCCTGTATCCGGTGCCGGTGTCTCTCGGATCGTGACATTTCGCCGGACCTTTGCCCTGAGCGTGGCTGGTGTAGTAGCGGACAAACCGCGAGCGTCTGACGACGAGGTGAAGCAGAAAGCAGAGCTTCTCCATGCCGATAGAGATGAGGAAGAAGATCACGGTGTTCATCTTCTCGTCGTCTATCAACAGCTTGGTGAAGATGCGAGACAGCGAAATAATCACGCCGGCCGTGCCTGGAAGGTTCAAATAGAAGCAAGGTTTTTAAAAAGAGAGAAAAACAAATATCTATGCATCTTTCTGAGAGTACTTACTTTCTCCAGTCATCACCCCCTGAGTATACCTCTTGGGAAGCATCCCCATGTAACCATAGAAACTGGACTGCTGCACTGGAGAAGGGAGACGAATCCAGTTATCAATGCAAACAAAGACCTTACGCTGTGACAGCGCAACTTATGGAGCCGTTCTTCTTCCTGAACCTCCACAGAACCACTCTAGAGAAGTTCTCCACTAATTAAACTGTGACCATATAAAGCTCAGAGCTCACAAAAAGCTAAGCGGAGGATTGTCAGCTGATTGTATAAATATTCTAAACTAATTACATTCTGTCCAAATTTAGACATCTGTTTCTCCATCTTATGATGTCTAACCTTTCACAACAGCTCTTCTTATATGTTCTATTGCTGCTAACTGGCAATCAAATGAATTTGAAAAGAATCAAACTTTTGTAAAGATGCTGATGTTGCTGAACTGTTTCAACAACTCAGATCTTTATAAATGGAACATTGTCAGGTAAGTAGAACTTACCCAGCTCAGATCTTAACCAGCAGCAAAAGTTACCTTCACTATGCAGATGACACACAGCTATACATGACTATGTCACCAGGTGACTATGAATCCATTCAGGAAACAAACCAAATTGAAAGGCAAAACTTAAATAATTTTGGACCTGAAGAAGAGTGTTTAAAGTCAACACACCTAGAAACCAATAATCAGACTCTAAATCTGAATGTAGTAATAAACTCAGACTAACACTTGCAGAGACTAACGTCTCAGCAGGATCTTATTTTATCTAATTAATGAGTTCCTCTTTAGTAGAACGGATTACTGCAACAGTGTCTTCATATGTTTGGTTAAAAACTCCATCAAACAGCTGCAGTTGATCCAAAAGGTTACTGCCTGCATCCTCACTTAAACACTTGGAACACATCCCCCGAGTTCTAATGTTCATGGTTCCAAATATCTCAGAGAAAAGTCTTAAAATAGTGGTTTGGCTATGAATAACTGAATGGCTCAGAATACATCACAGACTCTCAGGTCTTCTACTGAAAATCTAATATAATTACAATAAAGATTCTAGGCTAAGCAAAAGTTTTTTTTTTCAGTGTAAAAAATATTAGTTTTAGGATGTAGTGCTACTTTCTTTCATTTTACTATCAATCATTTTGTACTTTTTTTATGGTTATCTAAATAAACTTGCCCTATTCCAACACAGCAGAAAGCCTACATTTAAGAAACAATAATAATTGAAGTTTACTGATCTCACATTGGGGAAATTTACCTCTGCATTTAACCCATCCCTCGGGGAGCAGTGGACTGCCATCGTGTGGTACCCAGGGAGCAGTGTGGGGTTAAGGGTCTTGCTCAGAGACCCAGAGTGGCAGTCTGTGGGAGTGGGGCTTGAACTAAGAACCTAACGATTCCAATATCTATGCCCTAACCACTGCCCTGCCACTCTCAAATAGCTAGGTATTTTATGCACATCAAATTACACAAATTGATTTTCACTTCTGCTATATTACCAAAATTATGCTCCCAAAGAAATGCATTAAACTCACTCAATGCATTTTTTACTTTAAGGACGTATCGCAACTCCTCTTTATTGAAAAACCCCAAAATCTCTGCTATTTCAAAAAGCTGCAGAGAGAGCTCTGATGAAAACTAAAAAGGGAGATCATATTTCTCCCATTTTAGCTTCCTTTTATTGGCTCCCTCTTAAATCCAGGATGAAATTATAAATTCTTCTCAGATTTATAGCCTTTAATAATCCAACTCCATCGTACATCAGATACCTGGTTGTTTAATGGTTTCTAGAACTTCTAAAAGTACAATTGGAGGAAAATCTTTTAGTTATCCTCTCCAGTTCTGCTTCATTCATGTTTAAGAAGCTACTGCTGTCACTATTTTTACCTTTTTGTTTTTACATAGAAAATAGTTCTGAACCCTTGGTGTGCTCTCTATTAGCAAAATGGTGGATTATCGGTTAGAGCAGAGCTTCTGCATCCTTAGAAGGCAGCAAAGACTGAATGAATTATTTTATTTCAGACAAATAAGAAAGAAATAACAAAAAATTACAAATTTATTATGCAAATATAATTTATAGACATGATTTTCTACTTATGCTTAAGTTTAAATATACATAAATATATACATATTCACATGTGCTTACACACATTTCATTTATAAAATCAATACCAATAGCCAACATCACCTCAACTATTGCAAACACATGCATACATCTGACTACAGTGACTAGGAGCACTCTTTGAAGTTCACCATCCTTCTTCCATCTCATACATTTTTTAAGAAAACCTGTCTGAGCTACATCAGGGTTTTTAACTGATAAAATCCATTAATCAAATATTTTGTTTATGGTGATTTAATTTTAGGAAAATTTTTGATTTTTCTCATGAATCCACCGCTTCTGTAGCTCAAAGTGACATCAGTTCATCACTTTGTTCTTAGATGTTCTCTCACTGTGTGATACCACCAGCTGAAAGCATTCAGTGTTTTATATGTGTGACAATGTATTATTTTATAAGCATGTTTCATAGCTTGAATTTCATTTCCCTTGAAATTAAGGTCAACTCCAAGAAGAGATACTTGATTTAAAGGCTAGTTTTTAAAGCAATATATGTTATTTTCATCATAAAACTTTATTAGAAAAAAAAAATACACTCATTTTTTATTTATCTTTATTTTTTCCAGTTTTGTGTTATTTCAATTACTACATTGGAAAAAGTCATTTTTTCTTAAAATAAGTGAAATTGTTCTTGAATTGAGAAGGTAAAAGAGACATTTTTCCAATGGAACAAGACAATTTACATCTAATATAAGAAAACCAAATTGCATTGTCTTATTTCAAGTGCATATTATCTAAATATCTTATTTTAAGAGTAACAATACTCATTCCTATGGAAAATCATCTCATTTACCTGCTCAAATTAAGGGTAAATGCACTGAATTTGAGAAATGTTTACTTATTTCTAGATCGCTTTTCCAGCGTAATGTATATTAATCATTTTCTCTAATGGGAGGCTGTGTAAACTTTCAAGCACAACTGTAGCATGTTTCTAAAGCTAGGGACTCTACGCCATTTTTGCCTGATTTAACTTAGTTTAGATTTAACTAAGAACCAGAACTAAATATGAAGAAGCAGCATTTAGTACCTATGCTCCACTTATCTGTAACAAACTTCCAGAAAACTGTAAAAGTGCGGAAAGCCTGAGTTGCTTTAAATCAAGACTAAAAACACATTTGTTTAGGAATGCCTTCTACTGTTCTAGTTAAACAGTTCAACAGAAACATCATTAGTTCAACTTTTTTATTTTCTTTAGCCCAACTGTTTTTAATGTTCTTTTTTGTTTCTGCATTTTTTCCCCTACTTGCTGTGATTTTGTTTTCTTTTCCTATATTTTAATCATGTAAAGCACTTTGCATTGTCTTTGTACTAATTTGTGCTATACAAATAAATTTGCCTTGCCTTGTCTTGCCAATCAGGCAGGTAAAGGCCGCCTTAGTATTGCTAAGTCAGCAGGAAGAAGTACCAAAAGAAAAAAAAAAAAGAAAAACTGTTGGGGAATAAAAGGGGTGAGATGGTCTGCATGTAGGTGAGAAGGACTGACCGGACCCAACCTCAGCCGCAGTCCAACAATCTTGTTTTCATTTTTAATGAGGATCTGGACACCGTCAGGTAGTTTAAACCATGTAGTGATGTTTGCCAGATTTTGGTTGGGAGGGGGGGTAATGGACATATTACCTGTCCAGATTTTTGAAACAGTGTATCTTTCATTACTGTCAGCTACGGCTATATTTATATCCTCGAACAATCCCCTGTAAGAGCATCCAAAAGAGTTTTCCCAGCTGCTTTTATTTGGTCTAATAGTTCCTGTTTCTGTGATTCCTCAGCTAGATTGTGGGGCCAAGTTGAAACTAACACTCTGGTAGTTGGACAATGTTGTCTTTTCAAAATCTGTTATGGGCTTTAGTTGCTATGTTGATACTGTGGGCTTTTTGAAATGTCTTTATGCAGAGATTAAACTACGACATCCTGCAGTATTAGATGTGTAAAGATGTGCAGCTGGAGTAAAGTACAGTAAATGAGTAGTATTTTTTTCTTAAAATAAGGGATTTTTTTTTTTCTTGAATTGAGCAGGTAAGTGAGACACTTTGCCAGTGGAACAAGACAATTTATATTTAAAATAAGAAAAAAAACAATTGCTTTGTCTTATTTTAAGTGCATACTATCTAATTATCTTATTTTAGGAGTAAATATACTCATTACATTGGCAAAACATCCTATTTACTTACTCAAATTTGGGTTAAATACACTTAATTTCAGAATTTTTTACTAATTTCTAGATTTTTTTGGTGGTGTAGGTATTTTTTCTTAAATAGTCATTTTTTCTACTAATTTTGACCACTCTCACATTCTTTAGTTTGTTCTTTTTATTTGCTTCCTTAAAATTAGATTAATTTTTTTTTTTCCTCTCTGACTGTTTAGCAATTTTGGAGTCACTTCAAAATTAAGTCCTGGTGCTTTAATAGATAAAGCTAAAATCTGTGTACCTTTAGGAAAAGCCTACCTGTGCATCCAAAGGCGACCACTCCCACTGACACCAGGTTGATGACGTAAGCCTGCTTGTTGGTGAACATTTCCAGCCAGACGTCAAACACGCTGACAAAGATGAGTGGCCCCAGTGCCAAGATGTAACCTGCAGAGGACAGAAAAGGCTGATATGTAAATATATTCCTGCTGTTGTCTGTGATGTGATTGAATTCATTGTGCAATCATCAGCTTTGCTGCAGATGAGATCCTGTTGCAGAGCTACGAATGTATCAACTCCACAGAAAAGCTCTCAAGCGAACAACACACTTCAAAAGTTTCCCCCTCAAGGCTGCAGGCAGAGCTATTTTAAGTTACAAAGAATAGAGTGGTTAAAGCTCACATGCACCGAGTGGAAATCAGCACAGAGTCACAGAAACTCTCCTCAGAGATATTCTTTCAAAAACTCTTCTTGTTTCATTCTTGCTCAAAGATGTTTTTACTTTTATTTCTGGCACTACGAAGCCTTTACATTCCTTAACTTATCTCCAGCACAAATGTATAAAATCATTAGCATAGAATAGTTTATTTTAAAGGCATCACTTTTCAAATGTGTTGAATGTATCAGAGGGTGTTCAGAGCATCTTATATTAATCAACCATTTAGATGCTTTGAGACATTACAGCAACATTGAAAAGATGTAAATAATTATGAAAAAAAGATACAAAAACACTGTGCATGCATAAATGTCTTTGGCATTTCTAAATGCCAGAAGGAGAACGCAAACATGGCGACTTGAACCTACCCACAGTAATCCTGGTGTGCATGCTGAGTCTCTCCACCAGCACATTGTTGAGGATCACAGCCAGCAGAGCAACCACTATATAGGTCAGACTCATGTCAAACACTATGGGTGTTCCTGAAATACAGGAGAAAGATGGAAATGCTGAGACTGTGGGTGTCCAGGTTGTGTCTTTGAACGTCATGTACATTCATACCCTGAAACTTGCAATGCAGGTAGTCGACGTCGGTGATGAAGCTGTTGTAGGGAAGCAGGAAACCCACTCCAGCCAGGAGCATTGCAAAGTAGATTCCATGGTAACGGTCATCAGGGATGGGCTGCTCAAATTCTGAAGAGGGAAATGAAAGGAGTCAAGGGTTAGAAATTAAAACAGTGGGGATATGACACACTGCTATGAATCACTTCAAGAGATTTTCCATCTTTTTTGCAATTCAAAACAATTAGGTTGGGATAAAACATGAAAAGATGCATTAACCTGGTTGCGAAATCGGTTTCTTTAGTACTTGATGTTCTCTTTAAAGAAAAATCAACATGAAGTAAAATTCAGCTTCAATTACAATTTTAGTTATAGTTTAAAGCCTTAATACTTTCACAGAGATATTTCACCCAAATCTTAAGATATATGTAAATTTACTACATTAAAAAACATCCATCCATCTCACAACACGCTTATCCCTGTTGGGGTCGTGAGGGGTGCTGGTGCCTGTCTCCAGCTGTCTACTGGCGAGAGGCGGGGTCCACCCTGGACAGGTCGCCAGTCCATCGCAGGGCAACACAGAGACACACAGAACAAACAACCATTCACGCACACACTCACACCTAAGGAGAATTAATACAATTAACCTAACAGTCATGTTTTTGGAGTGTGGGAGGAAGCTGGAGTACCCAGAGAGAACCCACGCATGCTCAGGGAGAACATGCAAACTGCATGCAGAAAGACCCCGGACCAGGAATCGAACCCGGAACTTCAACAAAAACCTTTTCAATAAAATGTACATGATCCATATTAGCATAATAAATGATTTATCTGAAATACATATTTATCGGGTTTATGTATTTAGTATTAATAAAGTATACTAACTCAAAATGAATACTAATGGTTGTATTTATTTAAAATACATAAAATATATTGTTTGATTTGCATAAAGGTAACCTGATTATTGTGCAACTTTATGAACTTTATGTATTTAAAATAAATACAACCATTAGTATTAATTTCTACTACAGTAAGTATTCTTTATTAATTCTAAATAAATAAACTTGACAGTTATGTATTTTTAAAAAATAAGCTCTATTAAATTAATGAAGCATCATATAAGGTTTATTTAATAAGTTGTGTTACAATTATCTAAATAAATGTTCATAGGAATTTGAGATGTTATAAAATTACATAAATCTTAAAATTTAAGTGAAATGTTTTTGTGACACTGTCCACCTTTCCATGTGCTTCTGTTCATCACACAGCTTGTGGCTCATTTGCAGAGCTCTGAAGAACTTGAGGTAGTTTAGTCATTTGATTAACGTGTGCAAGGCAAGGGACCCATCTAAATGCTGCAGGACACTTGCCCTAGAGGATTTCTGTTAGTAACCGCTGGTTCAATGTATACACCCTGTTATGATCATAAGAAACTTGGAGGAAATAAAAATGGCCTCACAAAAACTGCTCATTACTCTGATCAGAAGGGCTGCCAAGAGACAACCCAGAGGGAGCTGCAGGGATTCCTGCTAAATACTGCTTACATTAGGATATGTTGTGGATCAGAGTTTAGCTCTTTAGTTCAACTCTCAAAAGTTTTTTTTGGCACAGAAACATAAATTTTAACAAAATACCCAAGAGAATCTAGCTGCAGCCCTGCACTGTCAGAACCTGTAGTTTATTCAAAGCATTTTAAAGTAAAAGTGAAGAAAAAATAAAAGCTAGTATACCTGAAATATTTTACATTCTCGTGTTTATTCCCTGGGTCTTCATAATAGAAGTATGTTTGTCTATTCATGTGTTTCACAATGTACATTCATATAATCTCTTTCCAGCTCAACTGGATAAGAAAAAAACAACATTATCACGGTTCTTTTATAAAGACATCTTTTATGTATGTTTGCAAGTATTTGCAAGTATCATATATTCTTTATTCTTTTAGTATTGTTTGTGCTATTATCTTTCCTATGCTGTTGAACCACATAGATTTGCCAATGGAGGGTGTTTGATTTCAAATCAACTTAGATCTGTTTACTCACAATAAATTACTGAATATCTAGATATATCACCAAAATAGACAAAAACCTTTGTTTTTGTTTTTTACCTACAACAATAGAATAAAGAGTAGACACAAAACTTTCAAATTACAGACCGTTCTTAAAGTCTGCCAGCACTGATCCAAAAGGTTCTGGCAAAAAAAATATTATTTTCTACAATCATAATGAGTCAAACACGCTAATGAGGAGGAAGGATTCTGCTACAGCAGATGGAGAAACTGGTGAAGTAAAAGTCTCTGCCCTTCTGACTGCTGAGAAGCAGATTACAGGGGTTGGTTTGTTGACAGAAAACTAGCTGTCAGAGTTGGTTCATTAAAAGACTGTTTTGCAGCAGAATCCTTCTCATGGATAAAGTATGATGTGCAGGGTCTCTATGGAAGTGCTCCTAATCCGTCTCTAATCCTGTAAACTCACTTTAACCAGCTTTGAATTATTTGGAAGGAAGTAGATTTTACAGCAGACTGAGGTGGAAAAGTAGTTCTCACTATGAAGTAACAACAGCCGATCTGCTGATAGTTTTTGTTGATTGTGTAGACAATGTGTAGAGAATGTTCAAATAACATGAAAATAGGAGGCAGCTTGACTTTTGCTCAGTTATTCTAAAGACGTTTTGACACCTATCCTGGACTCTTTGTTAGTTCACACTAGAGCAAACTGTAATTGGAGCGCTGCACCATGGAGGCCCATCCACCGAAGCCCATTCCAACTCAGATGCAAATTTAAAAAACCGGCCTGTTTTAGAAGGCTTGCGTGATAATAAATGTTGTACAGGTTTCGATTTAAATGGAAAATCAACATCTATTTACAAATTAAACAAAACTGTAATAAAAAGCACATTATAGAATTAAATAACGGCCATACAGTTTATGTTTAACTGAAAGAACCTTTCTAAAGCTGAAGAAAAAACTAAAACGGCAAAGATTTAAAACTGAAAAGAAATTTTAAAAGTATATTAAAGAATAATCAATAATTTTCATTTATGTTATTAGTTTGACAAAAACAAAAGGGTCACTGTTTCAAAATTTTTTTCAGTTTACATAATTTTTTCTCCAGTTTTAGAAATATTGTTCAGATTCAGTGATGCACGTTGTGGAACTTTTGCTTTACATTTCTGGGTTTGATTCCTGGTCTACGGTTTTTTTGCATGGAGATTGCAGTTTCTCCTCATGCATGCATGGGTTCTCTCTTCTGAGCCACACTAATATAAATGTTAGGTCTCTGAATTGTCCTTAGTTGTGAGTGTACATGGTTTTATGTTTCTGTGTTGCCCTGCAACAGACTGGTGATCTGTCCAGGGTGTACCCCGCCTTTCGCCCATAGACTGCCGGAAATAGCACCACCATGACCCTGACTGAATAAGCGAGAGAAGATGGATGGATGGATGTTTAGATTCAAATCTCTCCTTTTCAGTTACTAAAAATACTTTTTGGCTTAAAACCTTTTTTTTCCCCAAATATATATTTAGGAAAATATAATATATTTACGGCATTATTTACAATAATATAAATCTACGGCACTAGTGGCTCATTTTATGGACAGTAGGCTGACAGGAAAGAGAGGGAGTGGACATAGGTCGGATTCGAACCCAGGTCATCCGGGTCAAGGGCTAAGCCCTCTGTACATGTGTCATGTGCTCCAACAACTGCACCACCGAAGCCCGCCCATATTTTACTTATTTCCAAAAAGAGTTTTCACTTTAAATAAAATATGTTTTTGAAAAAAAAACTTTTTGGTCTTTATTTAGCCATTTTCAGGGGAATGTCATTGCATGCACTCCACATGAATGCACTTAAGATTTGGACAAAGTCTGCATGCATCGCCTGATATCGCTACATTAAGAGAATGCTTATATCAACCAAAAATATTGTTATACCGGCACATCGGTCTGTCTCTACTGAAGACCTTTGCATGAGTACTTTCTGTCTGGGTGGCCGATGTGTTTTACATAAATCCTCCAGTTTGGGTTTTTATATTGAATGTAAACACTTCAACAACATTTGGTGGCAATATTGGCTGTCATCTGCTTTCTTCTTATATCACTTATTCTAATATCAAATGCTCAAAGGCAGTATAGAATCAGAAATAAACAGAATAGTATTTTCTTCATTCTAACTCTATTTAGTCCAGTGATCCGAAGGTTATTAATGTTTCTATTGCAGGTAGATATATATATGTGTATATTTATATCTTGCTGAGCAGAGTAATAAGTCTCCAAAATCTTAAAAGTAACATTTATTTTAAGCATGATAAATGTTGCTGAAGTGTATTTGAATTGCTACCAAACAAGCAGCAGTGTTCCCACTGGACAGGTTTTATCACACACCACTGCAGATTAATTACCTGACAACCCCTCACACAACCCATAAAAAAAACAGCCATAACCAATTATTTCTGTCTTTTAACTGTGAAACAATAAACACCAGCTGATTTAAACTCTGCTGTGAGACACGCTTTGTCTCTTTAAAAACATCTCTACTGGCATTTAATCATAACAACTGATATATTCACGTTTAAAGTCAGTCTCTTTCAGAGTAACTAGAGAGCTCTGAATGTAGGAGGCAGTTTGGCTGCAGAAAGAAACACCAAATTAAACAGTATCTGGAAAGCACAAAATGTTTCTCAAAATAAGTTTATATATTTATCTCCCTGCATTTATGATGTGTTCATAGAACATTTCCTGCACATGTGCAGATGATGGCTAAAGGGCTAAAAATTAGAATTTAAATATTTTTAAAGATACTAGTTCAATAAAACCATATAAACTAACTTTAGATAGTTTGTCACTAATAGAATGTGCTAATTTAGATTTTAACTTCCTCTCGGAAGCCAAATTTGGAAAACTTCGCACAAAGAGAAAAGACAATTAGGAGAAATGTATTGATACAACTACTTTGTCTTTGGTGCTCAGACTTCGGCAGGAAACATAGCGCTTAATTTTGATAGATATGCATGAACAGGAGCAAAGAATAGGGCTGTTCCCCCAGGCCTGAAACTGGTCGAATGGAGTTGGATGAAGTTGGTCAGTCTGTAGACTGCTGGTTAGTGAGATGGTATGCTGAGCTTAATGGGGAGATCCAGTGGACTGCATGAGCTGATACTAGAGGTTCACTCAGGGACCTGGAAGATGGAAGTCCAGGTTGGATAACACAGGTTGAGAGAACCTCTACATGATGAGCAAGCATTGAGCGACAGTGGAGAGAAAAAACTCCCAGTTGGGAAGAAACCTCTGGCAGAACCAGGCTCAACATGGCGGTCTTCTGCCGAACCGGTTAAGAAGCTAAAGGGAACGCAGTAAGAGTCCGGGAGGATGGTGGAGGAGGGGCTGGAGGTGAGTTGAATGAAGTTATCTGAATGAAGTTACAGCGCATCCACCGGCTGCACACAGGAGCAGACAGGTGCATATTGGAGGCCTTTTAAGATGCACTTTGAAGGCCGATTGGGTTTCGTTGAGGTGTGGTTCAAAGCTGATTGGCTGTGTCATAGGTGGATGAAGGAAAGCAATGAGTTTCTTCAGTTGAACTTCCGCCTAGGCTCCATGTTAGATTTGCCTCTTGGAATCCAAAAAACATGTTCTGCTCCCTCTCCGAAGCCAAAATGCATGTTAAAGTGTTCACTTGTGGAGCAAAATGTGTGCTCAGTGCCCTCTTGGGAACCAAAACACATGTTAAAATGCTCCCTTGGAAGCTGAAACTCATGTTTAATGCCTTCTTAGGGGCCAATATGTCTGCTAAAGTGCCCTCTACAGTGGTGAGTATGTGCTATATGTGCCTTTTTTTTTATTTTCAATGGTAGCTTCCATCTTAATCAGAGGTGTCATCAGCTGTAGTTCCAAACGACAGTGAAGGTAACCTCTGATGAAGACAAAAGATACCATAAAAATATGTCAGGTTTGTCTTTAGACAAATAAACGGCATGCCTGCTAACAGGAGAAAAAGAAAAAGTCTATTCAAAGGTTCTCATCCTTCTTTAGTTTCCTTACTGAATCCGCTTTTGTGATGAAATTAGTCTAAAATTATTCTTCATGATGCAGCTACTTATATTACTTTGGGTAAAACTGTAGCTTAAAATTACACTATAGAACACACGCCTGTTGAAACAAAATAAAACATTTCACAGCATTGCATAGTTTTCTATTGGTTTGAAAAGAAACTAAAGGTGATTATAAAAACCCACAGTAAGCAGAGCTGAGGAAGGAGAAGCAGATGAGTCTGGGAGACACTGTATCCAGGGCCCTGGCTGTGTGTCTGTCTTCACTCATGATCTAATTAAACCGGCCTTTGTGCAACCTTTGTAACCAGGCAACAAGGCAATTATGTGTCAACAGGTCTGCCCGCCTTGCTTTACACAAAACATGTTGCTTTCTCCTTCTCCTCCAATGTTATCTGGACATGTTTATCACACACCTGTATCTGACCCTGAAAACAAACCTGATAAAAAAGCAACATCTGAGTCCCTTCCTGATGTTATTTCATGCAGTAAGGAGGAAATAATATGTCCTCACTGCAAGAGAATACCTGCAAAGGACAAACTAAATCCATTGTGTGTTTTAATTTTTTTTAAGTTGATACAAGAGCAAAGTGGATTTAATCCCCAGGAAATGTTCATAATTAAAGCCACATCTAATCAAAGTATAACAGCAGGACCTCCAGCAATGATGTGCTTGTTGAACGCTGTTCTCTCTCCTGTTTTTTCTTTACTATCCTGCTCAGCTAACTCCTACATTAAATCCACTTTGTTCCTCTGCTGTCTTTTTATAAATAGTGCAAAACATGAACACAGAGAAAGAGAGAAAGCAAGAAGTGCTCACCGGGCTCAGATAGAGCCAGCACTCCTCGCTCTGGGGCGTCTTTACTGATCTCCTCCTCCTCCAGCTGATACGAATCGAAGCTGTAGCTCTGCACCACGCCGCTCTCCCTTCCCTCTCTCCAGCCCTCCCTCCCGGGATCCCTCCATCCAGCCATTCCTCGATCCCTCCACCCGTCCCATTCCTCGGGCGTCTGGGCCGGCGTTGGCCTGCGACGCTCCGCTCCCACTGAGCCCATTTCTGTCCTTGAAGAATGCATGAAGACACACAGAAGACTCCTCTGAGCTCAAACTGCTACTAGCACCTTAAAGCCTGCATGTTAAACAAAACCCCAGCGATGCGCCCTTGGAAGAGATGCAGAAGAGCTTCAGATGTTGGAGGATCTGCAGGGGGAAACAACAGGAGAGTGGGGTTAGGATGGGAAAGAAATGGAGAGGCAGGCTGGAACAAATGATCTGTCAGAGCTTTGCTCAAAATAACTTCAATGAGTCGTTAAAACACGGTTTGCTTCTGTGTACGTTGATTTTGCTAAATGAGAAAGTGACAATGGATGGGTGACAGGAGGGGTGGAGAGCTGAAGGAGAACGGTAAAGAAACAGAAAAACAAAGTAGGATAATGATTTGGTTGAACTCAGTTTAAATCACCTCATCTTTGCTGCTTCCAGCTTCTAGCTCTGCTTTAAAGCTTTCCTCTGGTTTTATGGAAAGAGGTTAAAGTTTAATTAGACAGACCGTTAAGTTTGAAGTTGTTCCTAAAGAGCCTTGCAAAATTATTGAACCACTTTTAACATTCTTTTTTTTTTTTACAATACAGCCACAAACTAAAAAGCATTTAAAATTGCTAAATGACTAAAATAGTCACATTTTAAAAGTTTTTGTCAAATAAAATCTAAAAAGTATGACACTATAGACTAGGGCTGCAGTTATCATTTATCTTAAATACCAATAATAGTAATAGTTTTTTCAATTTTAATCACAGAAATAGACCTATTCTTAATCAATTAATACTCCTCAATAAACAAGCAATTGAACTACATCACAGACATTTACCACACATTTTAAATCATTATTAATCGATAAAACATGTATTTTAATGCTTAGAAATGCAATTTTAGGAGTTCTGAATCAAGCATATTTACAGACAAAGAAGCGTTTTCATCATGAATACAAATTTTATTTATTTTCCCTACAGTTTAGGCTCAGTTATTGCTCTGAGAGGGTTTCTCCTTAAACAAATGAAATGTTTTAGAGTCTGTGTATTCCAGTAAGTGATTCTTCCATTAATGATGTGTTCCATAATTTCAGCAATCAGTTAATCACCATTATTCTCACTAATTGCTTCAGACGTACTATTTAGCGTGTGACATTTCATAGTCAAAAAATAAAAACACTTTTTATGTCTAGACATAAAAGCAAAGAAAAAGAACTTTGTGAAAAATAACTTTTAGACCATCAGAAGGAATGCTTTCTTAGGTGGAACATTTTATTTTTGTTAAAAGGTAAGAAAAACAATGAAAGACACAGTTTGCATCCAACTAAAAGCTTAAAAGGTTATTCTTATGTTGAAATTGAATTTATAAATTACATCAAAAGAGACATTAAAGCCTGCTAAAGCTACCCTGTTGTATTTTTGATAATACATCCGATTTGACCCAAACTTGCCCCCCCTACAGATCAGAACCCCCAGGATGTAGGTTCCTAATGTAGGTCTGACCCACCAAGCAAGTATAGCCTTCATCAGAGAAGCAGCCGAGAGACTCATGGTAGCTTTGGAGGAGGAGACACATGGCGAACGGAGAAAGGGCTCCACATAGAAAACACCATCTGCAATTCAACTTGAATAAACAAATCTACAAGGTGGTGGCAGCATCATGCTGCTGGAAAGATCCACAGATTTGATACTTTGTGATGCTTTGTTGTTGTTTTTTTGCCGCGCCGTGAACACTCCCCCCCCCCCCCCCCCCCCCAAAAAAAAAAAAAAAAAAAAAAAAAAAAAAAAAAAAAAAGAAAGGTGTTTCAGCATGTCTGGGGCACACTGATTGGTTGATCAGTGTTGGTTGATTGCAACCAAAAATATAGGATAAATTAAATTGCATAATTCTTTAAAAGAAAATTTTATTGAGGAATTTTGTTTTTATACAAAGTGTTATAGTAGAAACATAGGAGTTTCTGGACATTTTTTTTTTAGGAAATTGAGTAGATATAAATTATAACAATAATAATAATGATGAGTTCTTTTTAAATAATCTAAGTCTAAAAAAACTGCAAGAAAGATGTCTGAAATTTGAAATATATTTTTTCATTATTGTAATTTCAGAAAAATTCAGATGAAATCTGACCTTTTTAAAGCTTTGTTTTTTTCCGTTATTTATGGTTTTTCACCAGCACTTTCTAAAGGTACCACACAATATGTGCAATCCTACTGAATGTATAAGTAAACAATAGAGTTTCCATCAGTGGGGAACTATAAATATGACTAATTGCCTCCTTGATGGTTCACCTCCTTGAATAGAGACACGTATCGAAAACCATGGACAGCAGAAGAAGCATGATTTTAAATCATATTCATATCCCCTTGAATAAAATGGGAATTTGGAGGGTTAACCTTTTTATTTAAAACTAGAAACATGGAAAACACAATTTTCTTTGCCACTGCTGCAAAACATGAACCAAAGAGACAAGTTTAAACTACATGCACAGAGATTAATACTGCTCTGTTCTCCCCTCATGCCCTGTAGGAATGATTTTACTCCTGTTTTATGATATAAAGCAAATAGACTCTTGTTTTAAACATCAAAGAATCCAAATGAGGAAAGCATGTGATGATCTGTGCAAACAGCCAAAGGCTGCAGAAGAAATGGACTGGGTGGCTGCCAAGGTGGAAGAACTGTTGTGCTCAGGGTGTTTTTGTTGGGGAAAATCCAGGAAGATGCCTGGTGCGTCTCAGCCACCTTCTAAACCGTTTCCATGTCCGGACGCGTGGCGGCGCTCGCAGCCCCTTCTTGGTTAAATCAAAAGGCTCCGTAATTTAATTGCAGTTAGTCACTGCTGCAACATCTATTCTGGATTAAAACGGAGCAATTTCAAGAACTGTAAATATTTTTATTTGTATAAATTATGGGGGAAAATTTGTTGACATTTAACAAGGTAATCTCACGCGTTTTTCCCCGTGCGTAAAAATCAAAAATACAATTAACCAAAAGGCAAGAGAATTAGAATAGTACGGCTGGTCAGATGGATTAATCACCCAGAGGATAATCAGGTGGTCTCCCTATAACGATAAAACCACAATAATCAAGCCAACAATAGTGTCCCTATCGTTATTTGTCTCCTGTCGTTTTCTAGCCGTGTTTTCTCTGTCGCGCTGAAAACAAAAACACTAACAACAGGTTATCATTGATGGCTCCCCTTTACCTACCCTGTCTCTCCTCCTCGGTGCTCTCAGCAGAAAGAAGAACCCCCAGCTGAGATCCTGGACCGGACCTGGACCTTGCTCAGCCCGTCTCCATCCGAACAGGAAGAAGGGGCACCCTTCCTAAACGCGCTCCTAACGCAGCATCCAGGGAGAGAAGAAAGGAAGGAAGCGCGGATGGATGGATGAGAGGGGAGAGGGGGAGGAGAGGAAGGGGAGGAGGAGGAGGAGGAGGGGGGGGGGGGGGGTGCCTCTGGCTGTTCGTGTTTCTGCAATCTAGGAAAGCACTGTTGGAGCTGGAGATGAATACATCCTAATTCATGTTTAACAAGTTGTTTCATGCTTTGTGCAATCCTGTTAAGCCTGACCTAATATAGTCTGAATGTGAGAGACTCCACAGGAAGACAGAGTCCTCCAGTTACTGAACATGTTCAAGACATTAAGTGCATCTGAGTAAAATAGGATATTGATTGAAAATTAAAGTATCTAATTTAATCCAAACTCTGATATGAGGCCTCCTGTCTGCGGCCGAGCCGAAACCCTGAGGGCTTAAGCCTGGTTTATGCTCAGAAACCAGGTCATCTGCGTGTGTCACAGTTAATGCAGCTACACGCCCCCTTCTGCAGACACTCTGCTGCACCACTCCAAAATTGTAGGTGACCGCAGACAGTGCCGCAGACAGGAGGCATCTAATTGGTCAAATCTACATCTGCTCTACACTCCTCCGTTGTCGCATAAATTTGCCCCTTGCGTTTTTCCACTTCCTCACCGCCTTGGCCTTCTCTAGATTCACAGTTAGTTTGTTGTTGTCCCTCCTGCTTTGTGGCGTGGAAGAACATTGCGCAGACCACGCTTCAAAATTGGGAATAAATCAAAAACATCTGTGCCATACCTGCGACAAGCTCTCTGCGACACACTGCTGCGGGAGTATAGCCAACCCTTTAGCGGAGAAGAGCTGGGACATGATCAGAAGACGGGAGACAAACACTAACACACTCTTAATCCACTGGCCTCCAATAGTGCGGACATGAATAACAAACACGAAAAACTAAAAAGAATGATCTGTCCCCAATAGCTGGGCTGAACCGTATTTAAACTAGAGCGAGCAGGTGAATAAGATCAATGATAATTAGAGAGCGGGGAGGGAATGGCAGGTGAATGAGGTGAGTAATCAGATCAACTACAGGGGCTGTGACTATGACAAGGGGAGCTTTGATTTAATTTAGCGGTGCTTCAGCAACCCCGAAAATGGGCTAACTATGCCTATGGCAGTGTATATAGTTTAGCTGATTTCAAGTAAGGTTGTTTATTTTTTGTTGTTCATTTCGTTTCTTATACCTTACAGATAAAAAAAAGCTAAAAAAAATGCTTGGTAGAAAAGTTGCAAAAGGAAATGGATTGTGAGGGAAATCCCTGTCAACACTCTAACAAATGATTTTGTAAATTAGCTAAATATGTAACTACCATCAATGCAGATCATTTAAATATCACTTTCACATGTTAATTAGCTAACTTAGTTAACAGTAACAAAAGCAACATATAGATATCTGAAAAATGCTAGATTCTGGAACATGCATCACGCTGTGTGCATGTGCCAGAAATGAAAGTCCTCTGATGAACCATTCAGAACAGGACAACCTTACAACCAGGAAACATTGGGATGTTTAAAACTTGTTCCTTAAATCTAAAGGTTTGTAAAACATTATCATTATGTTTTTTAAATTTCCTTTGTTTGAAAAAGTCTGCAATTTCAAATCAGACTAATTGTTTGTTATACAGTTTATTGTTTTGTTATACAGCCTGGTGCCTTGCTGTGGTTAAAATGTTTACATTTGTAGCACTGACATTTTGAGCAGACTTTACCTAATTTCTATTTTATAACTGTTAAAATTAGTTACACTTACCATTAAAGTTTGAGTTCAATCAATCACTGGGTGCAAATTGCTACCTTTGTTTGCCAGAAGAGTTTGTCATTCAAAAGGCTGTAGCCTGCATGCCAACCATTGTATTCCTCATCTAAAGCTACTCATAATCCACAAATCTCAAAATCACAGTGAGACAAGTTCTTCTTTTTAAATGAAAATAAATTGTTGTTTTGGCATCGACTTCTCTGAATCTGAAGGAGAGACACAGGTCCCACAGACTGAGCTTGTGTAAAGCTTCCACTGTTAGTGATGAATGTTATAATATGATGAAGGATGCCACAAAACAACCTGGAGTTGGATTTATTATAATAATTCTTATGTCCTTCTTAAAAGCAGTAATTAGATTGATTTTGGCTCCGCCCATTGGACAAAAGCTTTATTGTTTTGCCTGAAGGAAGACAACATTACCGATGAGGACCAGTGTGGTAAAATCTTGATCGCCCGCAGTTGGATTGAACTACATTTCTGTTTCCAGTGGTTGTGTGAAAGATGAATAGCTATGAGATAATGAATCTAACGACATGTAAGGATGTTGTAAAATAAGAAACTATAACTATAACTAATAACTTTGGTTTTGCACCGTATTCTTGCACTGCCACTGCTTCAAGGCAAATGTTATGGATCCTTGGCTTTGTTATGCAGTTATATCTATTATGTCCTAAATACCTGAATATATCAACCATGAAATAAGTCCTTCAACCTAAATCTTTCATAACTACCAGCTGGAGCTGACCGCCACTGACCTTATTGAAGTTCATCCATTTATTGTCTTTTACCACTGATTCCTGCAGTACTGCATCATTCTCTGGTCATTTGATCAAGTTCTATGTTTGCCCTCTTTAGCTAATAGTTGTAAGTGTCATGCTGCCTCAGTAACACATGTTGGCAGCTCCCCCCTCAGTGATTGACAGCTTTATCAGTTCAGCTCAATATGCTAATGCTTTGTTATTGGCAGGAGTTCCATCATATTTCCCACCCACTGCTATTGGCACAGAGGAGCCAAGCTTGACGGGAATTAGCTAAATGGCTGCTTGGCTGTCTTGTCAGGTGCGCCGTGTCTGCAGAGTAAAGCAGATCATGGAGCTGCTGCTGCTGCACAGTTGAATGGGGAGAAGTCGTGGCTTTTAATCCCCTCAGAGAAACAGGATTAGTTTAGTCCAGATGCTGAAGTAGCTGTTCTGTAATATGACCAAACTGCAACCGATCTTTTAAAAGAAGAGTGTGTGTGATAGCAGACCACAAATTCAAGCAAAACAATTTCCAATCATGCATCATTTAATTCTATCATTAGTTTGCAGGTTGGTTTGCACAAATATTTCATAGTGTGTTTGTTTGCTTTTATTTGGTTGTTGGTTGCAGTATGTTCAGAACACACCTTTTTATTCCAACAGATTTACCATTTGACATGCTGATTATTGAAAAAGACAAGTTATAGATAGGATTATTGCAGATGGCTGAGATATAGATTTATTTTAAGGTAGTTTGATTATAAAAAAAATACTAAGTTCGAGTGAGTAACCCACAGCGCACAAGATGCTTTGATTATTATGAGCTTTATTTAAACAGGTAAATATTCTTTTCTAAGAGGGAGCCGTCAAGGGCAGCAAAAAAATAAAAAATAAAAACACAATATTAAAAAGAAAACAAATCTATGAAACACCAAAAACAATAATAAAAGGTAATATACTTCCAACCACAGACATAAAATAAAGCCAGGAGCCAGATCTTATAGGCCTTCTTACAGAAGTTTAAACACATCTTTATTTCATAATTTAAGAAAACTAAGAGCCTCAATGTTTTGATTTTCGCAATTACAGTTAAAATGTTTCAAAGATTTTGTAATAAGAAATAATTCAGTCTTAATATTGTGTTTGTTTTTCTATTCTATCTAAATTAGAATTTGTTTTAAGGCCAAACAATGAAGTATTCATAAATCTCCAGCTGTCTTTTAAAGAATCAGTGTTTGATGTAATTTACTGAAAGAATCCTGTTCAGGTTTGATTAACCCGACCGTTTTAGTTTTTTGAACTAAAATCAAACAGTAAAACAGCCCTTTAATGTAGCCCTGAAGGTAAACCTTCAATCAACCCAGCTTTATATAAAGAAAGGAAAATGTATTTTTCTTCTTTTTCAGTGCCCCATATAAAATGGCTCCCTTACTGGGTGTTAAACCTAACATTGTTTTTTAATTTTAATAATAAAAATGTCCTCAAGGAAGATTTTTGTGAAGGTGTAAAAAAAGAAAACAAAAGGCATTTACTACACTAACAACTGGAACCAGACTGAAGAAAGAAAAGGTACAAACCACTGGGTGTTTTCTAGGAGTTCATAATTAATGAGGCTGTGACTGATAGATATTCCCTAATGCTATGCTCAGCTGTGCAGAACACTTATATTGTGCAGCTTGGTGTGGCTCACATCCAACTTTGATTCAGGATTTAGATTTAGGAAATTGTTGCATTGACCTCATAGAGTCAAAACATTGTTAACTGTTGACTCTTTTAAGAATAATTTACCTAAAATAACTATAACTTGGAGTTTAACAAAATTAAAGAGGGCTCTCAGGTCTCTTATGGTCAGATTTAATCTTTTAAAAAAGTTGCAGTAAAGCTGCTTTTATAGTTTCCTTGTCCCACGCCTTTACTCTTTACTCATATAAAGGTTACCGGACTGTCCTTATTAAATTTTCCTGAATTATCATTTATTTATTGCTCATCATACATTTCTTTGCAAAATGTGCTCCCAGTAGGTTCAATACATTATTCTAGTAGTATTGCATTATTTATGTGTATATTATCACAGAAGTGTTGCAACAGAAAATCCATCTATATTTGGTCTTAAAGCCCCAGGTCCACACAGGCTCCTGCAGCAGGGAGAGACTTGGTGGCATGGAAATTGATTATTCTTAGCCTGTGGCCATTTATTAAACCGCATTTACTTTACTGACTGGACTCCCCCGTAAGAGAAAAGCGTTAATAAGTAATGAAATATTTTATGTAAGAGGCAGATGAAGCCGTGCTGTCTGTCTTTTTTTAGTAGATCCCATCTGAACATGGAGCAGGTTCACCATCTAGGCTGTTTCACTTTTCCTTCCTAATGAGTGTGGACCGTTCTCAGGTGTTCTCATGTTCAAACCAAAGATTTTGATACGTTTCTTATGGATTATACATGATTTATAAACATCAAAAATTGCATAATGTCATCCTTATGCAGATAACAATCTGAAAAGTGTGGCGTGCGTCTGCGTTCTTTACTCTCCTTATGCTGAGAGCACTAAATATAA